TGGCTGCATATAAAGCTCAAGGTTGCAAGATGAGCTTAAAAGTTCATTTCTTACACTCCCATGTCGACTATTTTCCCGAAAACTTGGGAGCCTATAGTGAAGAGCAGGGTGAACGATTTCACCAGGATGTCCGTGATATCGAGAGACGCTACCAAGGAAGATGGAATGCGAATATGCTAGCTGACTGCTGCTGGATGATCAAGCGGGAAAGGGAAAATGGAAAGCGAAAGCGCGTTCGGAGAAGCATCAAGGAGAAGAAGAAAAGGTTTCACAGGCAAAAAGACTGAACACAGAATGTTAAATATATCGTGAAGGAATTGTTTGTTTAATTATGAGAAATAATATGTTTAGTTCAATGTAATAAAATTAGTGACTTTTTTCATCACTTATGATTTTTTATTGTAAACCCCTATTATTTTCCAAAAAACTGTGCGTGATAGGTGGAAATGGAGGTAATTTTTGGATTCAGCATCCTAGAAAACATAAAGTTTACCAAAAGTATTCCATGCAGCTGAAAAAAAAATATTTTTGCAGACCTGTGTTATGTGATGTAAGTGCCTTCATCATGCGTATATTATGATGACCTTCAGGACTGTTCGGTCGATAGATTTTTCTGTTTAATAAAGCATATTGTATAGGGCATTTAATTAAGGATTGTATTAACTGTATTATTAATATGTGACACAAGATGCTGATAAACTTTGCTTCAATTACAATAAAGGTGGCGGAACTGGGTAATTCGTGGAATTTTTACATGGCTCATGATAGGCCTCTTCTGCCTGCTGATTTCTGCTGGTCCTCTGGCTCTCATGGTGACAGTGAGTATCATGCAATGCAATAATATGCTTGTGTGGTTCGTGACTGCTTGCAGTCCCTCTTCAACAACTGGCATTTAGTTGGTTCATTTCTTTTTACTTAGCTGTACTTATCTTTAAAATAATATAAGCTGCAAACAGTGTGATTATATGAGTAGAAATATTATGTACAAGAGAATAAGAAGTCTTACCTGTAACCATATGTTTTTGCCCATTTCCTGAAATGTATCTGATATGCCCAACATCTACATGTAGTTGAATGGTTGTCACTAACAGATATTTTTTATTTGAAGGATAAACCTGACAGACTCTTTTAATACTAGGTTATTAGTGCAGAATTCACGTATCCTCTACCTCATAAACTGAACTCATGCTTCACAATCCATGTGCTCAGAGATGTGGCACCAGTGAAAACCTCAATATTTGTACCCCTCATCTAGCAGATAAAGCTTGAGAACCACTGGACAAGAATCTGATGTCTTACAGAGATGGATTTACCAGTAGGCAGACTAAGTGGATTCTTAAGGCCCTAACTTCTGAGGAGCCCCAGATTGTTCTCTGAACTTACAACGGTACCATGCTGTAAAGCGATATGCGAAACATTGAAAGTGGTGCATGTAAAAATTAAGGGAATGCTCTGAAACTTTGAATTGCAGTATCATGGTCACAGGCTTTGGGGAAAACAGTGTAAAATTTATTCAGAGAAGTGCTAAACTTTCTGTTGCCTCTTCACTGTTCAGCACAATTTGAGTTTAAAGAATGTGGTGAAATTATAGCCGAATCCATAAGTCTGTCTCAAGGCAACATTCTTTATTAATTTATGTCCTTAATATTCCATTTGAGGAAGGCCGACTTTCTTGTAAGGTTTTATACATATTTCCCTACACATATATTGTTATATTTTTGAGTAATGGTTTTGAAGAAATGTTTTCACAGTTTCAAAAATTATTACAACTACACCATGTAGAATCTCAAAATGTCCTTTGTAGGGGCCCATGAACTTTACATCTGCCACCACCAGTCTACTTGCAGGATAAAAAATGTGACAGTTTGTCGCTATATGGAACAGTTACTTTCCCACAATCTGTAATCGCTGATGCTCTTGAGATCATTTCTGCATTTACTCGATACTTTGTGGTCCTGCGGTAGCGTAGTTGGTTGAGGCACTATGCTGCAAGCCGGAAGATCGCAGGCTCAAGTCCCGATGAGGTCATTGGACTTTTTCAATTGACCTAATCCTTCCAGCCGCACTATGGCCCTGGGGTCGACTCAGCCTCTAACAGAAATGAGTATCAGGAATATTCTTGGAATAATCTTGGGGGTAAAGGGCGGCCAGCGCATAGGTCTAACAACCTTGCTGCCATCTATGAGCCGATTGTCTAGAAAATGTGGGAACCTCAATATCTCACAACCCTATGGGCTTCCATGGCCTGTTATAGGGATACCTTTACTTTCACTCAGTACTTCACAGCAATCCAACCTTTCATTTACTACACTTACTTCTGTCAACTTTCCTGCCCTGAAGTGACCTGAACTAGAAACTGACTGACTGCACTAGCTACTCACTTGTCTGCTATGTGCTGCACTGAACTGAATTGAAGTACCTTGTGAGAACTTAACTACTTTTATGAGCAGATCACACATATAGAGAAATTTGCAGTATGCTTGTGAATGACCTCAGCCTTCATCACCAGCTGAGCATTTGCTCGAACATTCCAGAGAGCGGGAGGTCTCAATATTTTAATGAAATGAGCAGCAGATGCACACCAGGCAGTGCAGTCCCACCACGTTAAAGTTCAGGCATCAGCTGTTACCCAATATTTGGGCTCTTTTTACTTTTTGTCTTCATTTTTAAATGTTTATATCTCTCATTGTAGAAGAATAAATGCAGAGACATCCATTAACCCTTCAGTGCTATACATGAAAAATCTCGCTTAGAAACAGTGGCATTCTGGTCTGGATATAATGTTTGAGAAGATCATCTGTCACTTGCTAAAGCTAACTGTTCATGGTGGTTCACAATAGTTATTACATCTTATCATAGAACATACAAACCTAAGGTTACTTTACATAAGCTCAAATAACTTATTTCAATACTGCAACCACAGATTGTGGTACAAAATGACATTTTTTTCTCTAAGTAATATCCATAATTTTTTTATATTGCACATTCTGAATATAAGTTAAAAGGTAAAGTTGCCCCTGTGCTTAATTAATTCACCACCACTCCATGCATATTTATGGGGCAGTGGAGGTATAGCTCCACCATTCTTCACCTCAGCACTAGATGGAAGTCAGTGGTCAGCTTCATGCCCCAGCCACATACCCCAGAGAAAGATCCCATGGTACCCACAGGATAGGATGTTTGGTGGGACATTGTATCTGTATGATGATAAATTCATAAAATGTGCTGCAGTGGTGTAGAAAGGCTACATAATATGAACTCTTATTGTTTCACATATTAACTTCATACCCTTATTGTCCAGGCAGAGTGTTTAAAACAGATTATCAACATTCGCTGCGGTATGCATTGAGTCCATGGTCTGCCATGTTCGAAATTTTGTCACATTTCTTGTTTTGGGTCCTGATTGTCTGAGTGAAACATTTCAGAGCAATAGTGTAGGCTGTGCCATGTAACAGAGTCAAAGCCTACCATGGTTTTGTTTCATATTTATTATTTCAGACCCTGGTTGTCCAAGTGAAATGTTTTGAAGAAATTATCAACATTGGTTATGCTGTGTACCGAATCCATGGCCTACCATGGTTTAGATCTCTATCCTGGTACTTTCTTGTCACCTCAAACTATTTCTTTTATGGGGAGAGTCTGGTCGACTATTTTGGAGTCGTTATTAACCGAACAGTAAGTAATAAAATTAAATATGCACTTTTATTTATAGAGTAAAGAATGGGAAGAGTGATACATGATTCTGCATTTATATTGCCATTCCATCAGTTGTAATGAGCATGAAATATTAAACACATGCAGATTTGGATTGGAAGTCTTCCATGCCAAGTACAATTTTTTTGTTAGATCATATTCATCAATTTATATATGCTTATTTGTTTAGTTTATGTAGTAACAGGGAACACTGAAGCCTTAATATTGATAATTTATTCGTTCAGTATATATTTCAGACCTCTCACCAACTTGGGTATTACCTAATAGTGAATAGTTGCATATGAATTTGATATTTGTTTATTATAAGGGAAGAGTTCATCGCAGTCTTAATTATTTAATTTATAATTCCTCCAAATGAATGCACCTGTTAAGTATATACTGTACACTTTTACAGTCTTGTTTATTACTGTTGTGAATGTCTGTGTTAAAAGAAGTTGAAAAGGAAGCTGTTTGAGATCAAATTTAATATTCATCTTTAGATGTTTCTGTTGTGTGCGGTTCCTTTAGCAGCCTCCTTTCCATATTTCTTTATCATCCTGAAGCCTCATTATCTTCCTATTTTCTTCCTTTTCATTTGACACTTTTCCCCTTGTGTGTGTTTCTCCAAGTTTTGGGTTTCTAACCCTCATTCAGGATTTTGTCATTATTCATATTTAGAAAATGTCCATGCCATTTTATTCTGTTATTTATTAATTTATCTTTATATTTTCTCTAATTTTTCTGTTTCCTATTCACTCTCCTCTGGTTTTTCCTTGTCTACGTCATAAATTTCTCATTCCTGCTGCTGTTATTCTGCTAACAGTGGCTGCGTCATAGCTCAAGCGGTTATTCACTGGCTTCCCACCAAGGCGGCCCGGGTTCGATCCCGGGTCTGGTCAAGTGGGATTTGTGGTGGACAAAGTGGCGCTGGGGCGGGTTTTCTCCGAGTACTTCGGTTTCCCCTGCCAATCTTCATTCCACCAAATTTTCCATCATAATCACACGGGGCAGGCTACAATAGGCCAATCAGTGGCCGCCGTGTAGAGTGGACACAGTTGGACTCCACCCCCCCTAAGCGAAATTTTATTCTGCTAACATCTATGTTCATATGGGCATGTAATGACTTTTAAGTAAGACATATTTTTTACTTCTTAGGCATTTCTTATTTCCAAGAAACGTCCATAACTGATAGGATTGTCATGCCTTTTTTAATCCTTTCTGTGACTTCTTCCTTTACTCTCCCATTTGTTGCCATTTTATGTTCTAAGTACTTAAATGTCTCCACTTTCTTTATTTCATAATTATTGCATTTTATCTTCTCCAAGTTCTTCACTCACTTCAAACAGGTCATCATGCCTAGTCCTGAGGATGGAAACAGGTGTATAATCTGAAACAGATGCTTTTCATGCTAATGATGAGACATTTGCTTAAATCTTGGGAATAACTTAGTGTAATATCAGCGGCCTCCGTAGTCTAGAGGTAACGTTCCCACCTCATGACTCGTGGTACGCGGGTTCAAACCCGGTGGAGGTCGTTGAATTTTTAAGGGCGGAAAAAATTCAGGGAACAAGTCCTCCGGGACTTTAAGCAGTGGGTCCCGTGTCATAGCTTTACGGCACGTAAAAGAACCTCATATCTCCAAAGGAGGTCACTGAGCCAAATTCAAGGACGTTTCCTGCCCAACAGTAGTCTCTAACGCCTCTGATAGTGGGGGAAGCATTATAGATACCGCCAAACCAGTAGAGGCCAAACTCGCTGGCTCGGTCGAGACTGATGGTATGCACCAATATCAGTAGGGTATAGAGACTGGTAGAGTATCATAGAGGGAAGCACAGTGGACCAATACTGATCTAAGTGCATGGGGAAACCCACCCTCTCCCATAACTAACTAACTAACTAACTAACTAACTAACTAGTGTAATATCTGTGAAGTGTCTGTGGTTCGCTTGATGTGAGTTATTACAGATCTCTTTTGTTCATGAATTATGTTCTATGTGTGGTTTGTTTTTAGGATTACTTACGAGTCCTCATCACATATCATCGATTCATCTCGTTCTGCCTGTATATTGTCGGGTTTGTGTGGTTTGTACTCTCACTAGTCAAGAAGTATTATATGAAGCAGTTTTCTCTCTTTGCTTGGACACATGTGGCACTTCTTATTGTTGTAACACAGAGTTACCTTATCATCCAAAATATCTTCGAGGGACTCATCTGGTAAGCAAACAGCTTGAGGTAACTGATTTTGTTAGTGAGAGCCAAAGGTTCAGGGCCTACCATTGGACATGCTACAGATCTGTCCACCTCCCATTCCTTCTTGGTCTTCCAAATGGTCATTTCCAGCCCAAATTTTGTGTGCATTCCTTTTCTCCCTGATCCTAGCTGTTGGGTTTTCATTATACTCACTGCTGTCCTTAGGCATATTTATTATTTTTACCTGATAACTACAGTGGTACTTCCATTTTTCAGCTAACAAATTTTTTAAATGAAAAAAATGTGAATTTAATATTACTCTTGCAGTAGTATTGCTTGAAAGAAAATTTGTTTTGAAAACACACAGAGCTGTGCATGAAAGTACAGTATCATAGGATCAGTAGTTAAAAAGTGTTCCACATCTTGTTATGCCCCAAATGTACAAATGTAATATGGGGGGCATCGACATTATGTTTTGGATTGTTAAAAATATTTCTTGCTGACACAAGGTCCGTGTTTGTGAAACGCGGAAGACAAACAGCCTGGCAAAAGAATGCTTTGGCTCAACACAGCTGCACTGACAATGCGGAAGCAAGCACTCATAAAGGTAAAACACTGGGAGGAATTAGAAATGCTGAGTATACAGAGGCTGGCAGAACACGATTCGCCGCCGTGTAAAGTAATTAGCCAATGAGCACTAGCCACCCTTAGAAATAGTGTCAGAAAGGGGTGGGAGCTCACCCTCCCGGAAGTTGATGAGCCGTCAATTTCAGAGTACAAAAGTATCGAAATGGGAACTATTCGAGGCTAATCAAACAATCATTTTCAAGAGTGTAGCCAGAGGCTATGTCCGTTATGGCACCGACAAAGTGGTGGTTGGCGATCATCTTCATCTCTATCTCAAGTAAGTCGAACCACTCATATTAGCCATGAAATATAAAGTGATATTATTAAAGTGCAAACCCAGTGACTAAAATGAGCAACAGAACAGGCTAGGGTACCATGTGTCAGTACAGGAGGGATAACGATTATATGTGAACTTGCGTGACCCGACAGCAGTCGGCATTAATTACTATATATGTGTGTGTGTATGTATGTAGATACTAGACAAATAGAGTAGGATGGAAAAGTGGAGAACTTTATTGGTACAACCCGTTACGCTCCTGCGTTACCCTACGTTTTATGGGAACTGTGAGCTCACAGCCAGGGAGCAACAGCAGTCCGTACAGGAAGAATAAGCCGGAGGAAGGGGAGAGGCTCCTGAGGGACAGGAGCCGACAGAGAGTAGACTACTGTGACTCAGTTTTTGGTAATTACTAAATTCCCCCCCCCTTACGGCAGAACACATAAATAATGCTGTGTGTTTCCCTGGCAAACAGATTTGAAACTGTTTAAAATTATGAATATGTAGCCCATATAATTATTTAAGTCTTTTATTATTACATTAAATTTTCACACATCCTGTAGTAAACCATATTTATGGATACAAGGAATGAGATGTCTGCTTGTGACTTTAGTTTATCGATTTATATATTGATGTTACGTGGCAGTGAAAGGAATACGAGTAGAGCACAACTATACTGGATGTTCCCCACTGAGGTATATTTAGTGGCTACACTATTCAGTAATTAGATTACTACTTTTTTTAGAGCCTATATTATCAAGCTAATTCTCTCACAGTGTAGATGATTATTGTTCTTAACCATTTGTGTGCTACACATGAGACGTGTTACTTAAAAAGCAATGCCCCTTATGCTTTGAATTTACTTGGTGTTTAAGAACATTTTGAAAGAACCGTCTCCCACCATGTCAAACATTTGAACAGTTGGAGTCACCTTTATGTAGATTTTAAACAATACGAATTGTATTGTACCCTGGACATATATTAACAGAAGGAAGTTCTTAAGGTAAAAAGTGGAATTGAAGTGGTTGATTATGGCAGATTTATGACGTAATACTCACTATGTTTCAGGTTTATTGTTCCAGTCTCGATGATTGTTTGTAATGATGTGATGGCATATGTATTTGGGTTCTTCTTTGGAAGAACACCTCTCATCCAACTCTCACCAAAGAAGACTTGGGAGGGATTCATTGGCGGTGGAATTGCTACAGTTATATTTGGTTTGATGGTAAGTGAAACAATTTTAACAAATGATATGAAGCCCTATAGTTTACAGTAAATAAGAAAATAACCAAATAACATACCTGACTTGAACCTAGTAAAAAGGAGTAAACAACAAACCATAGAAACTGTTATACAGAAAAACAAGTACAGCATACATAATAACAATTCATATCATTCAGGTGGACACAAGAGAACCACACTCAAAAGCTGGATCTGTAGACTGAAGAAATTACCCCTATACAGTATAAATTAGCATAAAGAACTCAATAATGTTATCACTGCCACAGAAAACAGTGGCTACAATAGAGAACAAGTAATAGCACAGTATAGCCAAATTAAAAACATATCAACAGCAAGCAGATAGCTGAAAAAGAAAAATGAGTTACATTTACACATTCAAACAAGTATATTTATACCATTATGAAACTACTTAAAAACAGAAACGTTAAAATAGCCTTTAAGAAAATATGACAAGGAACTTACTCCATAAAACACATACTACTGATAAGTACAAAACTACAGGGATCTATCAACCAAGATGCCCAGTCTGCCAAAAAAAACTTGCTTAGGACAAGCAGGATATTCTTCATGCATCATAAACAAGGAGCACACGCTGACAGAGACCCTAATCTTGACTCTAGCAGTGTGAGGGAGGAAGGGATGGGAACAGACCTACCTACTGTGTGTAGCATCAGTTCAGAGCATATTGGCCAGTAGCATACTTTTGTAGTGCACAGCTGAACTGAACTAAAGCAATTGTGTTTGTATCTCTACAGTGTAAAGCATCATTTCATGAGTGAAACTGACACTGAATACAGTAATATTATGCCTGGTGAAGACAGTGACATGGAGTTCGCACAGCACTATACCGTATGTACTGAATGTTTTGTCTCGGGTTGTAGTTGCTGATTCATGCTATTGCTACACTCCTCACAGATCTCAAGATTAGAGTATTGTACTGTATATAATATTTAAAACATCAAAGATGATTCCAGGTGTGCAGCACATATTCTGAATAATATTTGCCAACATGAAAAAATTAGGCTGTGCAAAGGAAGACCAACGCGTGAACATAAAGGAACATTTCAACAGCTGTATACCTAAAAGATATAACTAGCAAATAAAATAACAAAAATAAAAACACAAAGTAATAGTTTCTTTGAAATAGCACATACTGTTCTGAAAGAATTCCCTCCATTACAACAATTATGAACCAAGAATTGTACAACCACATTCAAGCCAGTACGTCACCGACAGTTACTGCATCACACTAATACCCACAATAACAGGGATGATGCAAAAAAAGGTCAAATAAGTAAGGTTAATGCAATCCTTAGTATGACAAAAAGACTAGTAAGTGTTTATGCACTAAATTCAGTTTACTACAAATCACTAACGTTGAATGCCCTTGAATGTGACTGAGGCTGAAGCATGTTGGGCTTAATTAAAAACTGGACACACCTGATGGTATTCTTGTGTTTATTTTAACATAAATAGTGTACTGGTAATAATTACTTCTATCAAAATATAAAGAAGTTACTTCATTCTCAAACAGATGTCACTATGAGACCAAGAAGAAAACATGGACACTTATGGGCACTTAGGTCTGGATGGGCATCACCTAGGCCTTTTTTGTATTTACAATTACTTTTCAGAATAAAAAGAACATGGGCACTTACTAATTCCGTGGCTGAGAATGACAGTTAACATACAAGTAGGTGCATTGAAGCACTTGAACCAGGAAATATTTATACCAGAGTTTGTAGAGGTCCTTTGTAGTGGCTTTACCATTGCAGTGATTCCTTTAGTCTGTGAGGCTTATATTGTTTCCAGATGTCATACATCATGTGCCAGTACCAGTACTTTGTGTGCCCAATTGAATATAGTGAAACTCTGGGACGAATGACAATGGACTGTGAGCCTTCCTCATTGTTCCGACCACAGGAGTACGTTCTGCCAGAGTCCTTGTCTGGAATTCTGCGCTTGGTGTGTATATTTGTATTATGCATTTGTACCTGCCCATACATGGGAATTATAAATCTACAAAACTGTAACATCAAAAGAATTACTTTACCACATTTGTTTCTAAAAACCACTTTTATATATTGTTTCTACAGCGTGCATTAAATGAACAAGTGGGGCAGTACTGTTTTGTCACTTCATACATTCATGTTTGTATATCTGAAATGGTTGTTGATGAAACTTGGGAGGGGAGGGGGTATACACTAAAAGTCTTGTAAATTTAATTTTTGCCCATAGCAGGCCTGTTTAGTGATTACTTTGTGAAGCTAAGATTGCGCTTCATTTAGAAAAAATCCCTCCTGCAGGAGAAATGTAGAGCCTGTTATTTTCTGTAATTCTTAAAACATTTTTTGATATGCAGTATACATAATGAATTGCAAGAAAATATTATTTATTACTATGAACTAGCAGATGCCTGCAACAGTGAGTTATGTGTTTCTATGTACAGTAGTGGTTTTCATCTGATATATATGAACATAATGCCCAATATGAGATGGAAAATAACAAAGATTGTATTTACAAAGCTTTAAATCTGAATTTGCATACACTTTGTGGAATTTGAGGTTGTCACAGTGGTGACAATGAACAGTTCTGTCTCCTGGGACATAACACCATGTGGTTAGATGGAAGTCAACCAACATTTTGGTGGAACGCATATCCTCCATCTTGCTGTTTGCTTCTTGATCGTGGTATCTGTATGAAATTGTAAGGTGGACATGGCAATTGCATCACTTACTGTAGGGCCTTGAATTTTTTATGGTAATTGTCTAGAAAAATATATAATCCTTGCTCAGGAAATTTTTCTTACTTGATGTTAAATGCTAATGTGACAGTCAGGTGTATCTACACAGTGCGACAATTAAGTTCCTGAAATGAGAACATAAAACACCAAACAAAGAAGATAAAAAATATTTATTAATACCATCGCTCAGTATAGTCCTCGCCCACTTCCGCACAACATTTACATCGCTCGTGCAACAAATGGAATGCCTGATAAAATGCTTCTTTCTGTATCGCCTTCAGTTCTCTGATCACAGTCTGTTGGGTCGATGAAACAGCATCGAATCTTGTTCCTTTCATCGTAGTTTTTAATTTTGGATATAAAAAAGTCAGCCAGTGCTAAATCAGGGTAGTGGGATGGATTGGACAACATGGGGATCCCTCGTTTTACCAAAAACTTGGAGACAACGCCCATAGAATGCGCCTCTACATTGTCGTGCAGGAGATACCAGAACCCAGTATCCTGAAATTGATGTCTGACGCAATGAACTCAAGCAATCGATCTCTTAATGACCTCTTTGTAAAATTTACCATTTACAGTCTGTATTTTCCAGCACAGCTTCATGATAAATGATACCTTTGACATAAAAAAAATGCAGTCAACATTGTTTTCACGTGCAGTTTTTGCATTCTCACTTTCTGAGCTTCTTTAAAGCTTTTATGCCATTCAGACACACTTGTCAATAAATCACAATGAAAGAACTAACTTCACCAAAACAATTGTAATCAACCAAACAAGTTGAAACTTTCACATCATATAAATAAACGTTCTCTCTAACTAGCCCCATTCATCCCCGATAAATGGCTTTAGTAGTATTACTGTAATAGTGTCAGTTTGAGAACTTAATTGTCATACTGTGTATGCAGGGTGTCCCAGAATAATGTTACCACATTGCACTTCATTGTTCAGTGTTAATGGATATTGTTTAAATGTTAATGAGGGAGACTGTGAACATCTCCAATAAGAACAGCTTGACAACATTTCTCTACTACCATTCTTGCTTGTTGCTTTTTAGTAATAACATGCTATAAATAATGGATGAAAGTACAAAGGAAGTATTTGATGACGCTAGCTAATAAACCATTGAACCTATGTATGTGAAGTTTTATATAGAGATAGACCATAAATGTCTACAAATTCTGTAAGAACCATGTTAAAAAGTGCAAACATGATGACACTGTTAATACTGTACCTCTTTGCAGTTGGGATTGAAGAATACATTGACACTGTATCCATTCCTTCTGCACTCTCTTTCCATGTCAGTCTTCAGTTCCGTAATTGGTCCATTTGGTGGGTTCTTTGCTAGTGGTTTCAAGCGAGCATTCAAAATCAAGGTAAGCTTCAACTGGAATGTAAGTGTGGTGGTTCTTAATCTTTTGTCTTGTTCCCCCCTACTAATCCAAAATCCTGGCAACTCTTCCCTTTCTAGAAAATGTTCTTTTTGTGTTGTAAAGTGTTTTATGAAAGAAATTATTAGTAACTTGTTAATTGTTTGTTTAAATGAGCATGATGCCCAGTTTTACACTGAATGCATCACATCTGTGTTACAAAAAGGAGAAAAAGGGAATGCTAAAGAAATGCATAAGATACAAAAGATGGATCGTATTTACATTTGCATTAAATAAACAACTGTAAAATAAGGTCAATTAAGAAAAAGCAAAACTTAAGCCTGATGATAATGATGTTAATTAAGGAGAAATGAGGATGAGGAGGATGAGTACCTTTCACATGAACTCTGAAGCACTGTTTATGAAATTAGAGTAGAAATTGGGGAATCCATTTCTTCAGCCCCTGAAAATAATACAAAACTACACACAAAGTTCTTAAAACAATGTAGTCTAACACATGCCAAGCTGTGTAAACAGTTTATAAACAGAAGTTAGCTACGTTTCAAGTGGATATGACATCAGAAAAGCCAATTTATTTCCTAATACTGTTGATAATTGCATGTTTTGAGGCTTGTATATGCTGTCATCTACTGTTATAACAGCATATCATATTTCTGGAAATATAATATGCTCTGACAATTGAGTTTTGATTTGAAAAATGCTGTAGCTGTCAAATTGACATATCTCTCCCTCCCTCCCTCTCTCTCCCCCCCTCTCTATCTCTTTCTTTCTCTCTCTCTCTCTCTAGTGTTAACTCCCTTCTGAGGTCACATTATTTTATCTTTTATGAGTTTTGGTTCGTTTATCCACAGGATCCATCCAAGTCCTAAGCTTTGTGTGCAATTTCATAACAAAGTTATTTTTTATGGTGAGNTATAAACTTAAAAAAAAAAGCCCCGGTTAAGCCGCAAACCGGTTAATCCGCCCCCGGATAATCGAGAGTTGACTGTATTCACAACATCCCTCCATGCCCGGAGGGCGTCTCCTCCATCCGCAACCTGAGGAGAGAGAGAGAGAGAGAGGATGGGATGGTGTAGATTGGATTGATCTGGCTCAGGATAGGGACCAGTGGAAGGCTTTTGTGAACAAGGAAATGAACCTTCGGTTTCCATAAAATGCTGGGAAATTCTTGCATAGCTGCAGATTTGGCTTCTTCTCAAGAAGGGCTCAGCTCTATAAGTAACTAATTATATGAGTTTCAGATTGTTTCCCATGAAATAATACAGAAATTTAACTTACTGTGACTGGGGAAGAAACTTTTGAACATAAGTTCACTCAAATTTGCGTAAAATAAATGTCTCAGTAACCACAAAATCATTATATACTGCTATGTCATTTGTGTCACAGGATTTTGGAGATGTGATTCCTGGTCATGGTGGTATCATGGATCGATTTGACTGTCAGTATCTGATGGCAACATTCGTCAATGTGTATATCTCAAGCTTCATCCACACCGCATCACCACAGAAACTGTTACAGCAGGTATTTAAACATATACTTCCTTTTCATCGGTTAGCATTATCAGACTGTTACATTTCAGGGAAGGTGACAGATAATATAGACCAGACATGTCCAACATGTCAATCGCAGAACGATTTTTAGTCGGTCTCATAGGCCTATAAGGAAAGTATACATGAAAACCATGTAAATTCACTTGTAATATAATATGATTATATTCAGATTCTGAAGGGAAAATATGTACATAGGTCGTACCAAAAGTCATGAGTAACTGTTTTTTGCATGCAACCTGGGAACAGCAGACGAAAGAGAGTACGGTGGTAGGTGGAACCAGCTGTTGTGTTAACCTTGAGTGTCTTGTGACGTCAATAGCTTGCATCACGTGACCAGTATCACTCCTAACAAAATGGCTGACAACGATATGTCGTTTCACCAGCGTGCTGTCATCGAATTTCTTGTGAAAGAGGAAATCCCTGATGCAGAAATTCACCAGAGACTTCAGCATGCTTATGGAAGTGTGCATGGGTGCGAGCAGTGTTCAAAGATGGGTGAAACATTTTAAAAATGGGAACACCTGCATTGAAGATGAGCCTCGGAGCAGGCGTCCTCGAACAGCCTCAACTGAACGCAACAAGGAAAGAGTGGATGAGATCATTCAAGATGACAGGCGTGTGACTGTGGACACAATAGCCCAAAAACTTGGAATAGGACACACTGCAGTACAGGAGATGATTGACAGCTTGGGCTATAGGAAAGTTTGTGCTCGTTGGGTCCCGCAGTTATTGACCGAAGACCACGAAGGTGATGATTTTTTGCTCTATATTGTGACAGGTGACGAAAGCTGGTTTCACCATTTCGAGCCTGAAACGAAACGGCAGAGTATGGAATGAGACCGTTTGCATTCTCCATCAAAAAAGAAGGCAAAGACAGTGCCATCAGCTGCGAAGGTGATGGGCACAGTCTTCTGGGATGCAGAGGGATTTATTCTGACCGAATTTCTGGAACCTGGGCAAACCATCAGTGCTGCTTGTTATGTCCAGACGCTGCACAAGCTCCATCGTGCATTGCATGATAAACGTCCAGGACGGAAATGACAACATGACATGCATGACAACGTTCGTCCCCACGCCACTCACCTCACATTGGAAGCAATTGCAAAGATGGGGTGGGAAGTTCTTCCACACCCTGATCTGGTACCCTCCAACTACCATCTTTCCAGATTTGTGAAGGATCAGCTGCGTGGACAACGTTTTGAGACAAGGGAGGCAATTCAGAAAGTGTGTCAGTGTCTTCAGATGGCTGGAACAGAATTTTAGAGAAGGGGAATTTTCAAACTCCCAGAACGCTGGGAGAAATGTGTACAAAGAAGTGGCGTTTATGTGGAAAAATAAAGAAAGATCTGTAGATTGAGGTGGTGTATTTGGTTTGTCAATAATAAAGCATGTTACTTTACAAAAAATTGTTGCTTATGACTTTCAGTATGACTCTTGTATTTGTCATTCCTATTTTTCTGTTCTTACTGAACAAGGTAAGTCTGTACTTTCGATGTATGTTGCTTTTACAACAAACATCATGTGTCATGTTATTTTTCCAATATTTTTGCTTAAAGCGAGGTACGACGATATGAGGGGTGGTAGATCACTGGCAGTTTTGACACTAAAAAGTCGATCTCAACCTGTTTGAAGTTGGACGTGCCTGATATAGACCACTGATGGAATGCTGACTGGCAGAGGAAAATTGAAGAACTCTAAAAAGAACCTCTCCAGTGCCTCTTGATCCACCACAAACATCACATGAATGAACTGCACTAGGATTATTGAGTGAAAGTGCATAGCATTATGGTATTCCATGTTCTGTTACTTTCCTCTCTTAGGTTTATAATCTGAAACCAGATCAGCAGTTGCAACTGTTCTACACTTTGAAAGATGCCCTGGAGAATCGTGGTATCCTAAACCTTCAGTAACATCATACAGAGGTTTTAACAAGGTAATTGCAATGGAGATACTCAGAAGGAAATAAATAATATATATTGAAAGGTTATGCATGGGGTTAGATGCAGCCTTAATATATTAATGATTTGTCATGTCTGGATTGTGGGAGGAAAGTAGTTTGGAGAGACTTTTTGTGTGCGTGTTGGCTGTTTCTTTGCAGCCAGAATTTTTACCCTGTATGGCCTTCAGTGGTATATTGTCCTTCGTATATATTGCATGGCTAGGAAATAGCAGGTAAAGTAAAGTAAAGTAAAGTAAAGCTATCCCTGTAACAGGCCGTGAAGGCCCATAGGGTTGTAAGACGTTAAGGGTCCCACATTACCTTGACAATCGGCTCAAAGATGGCGGTAAGGTTGTCAGCCTTACACGCCATCCGCACTTCACTCCCCAGGAAAAGTATTTAATTAATTTCTGATACTCATTTCTGTTAGAGGCTAGTGCGGCCGAAAGGATTAGGTCAATTGAAAAAAATCCAATGACCTCATCGGGACTTGAACCCGCGACCTTCTGGCTTGTAGCATAGTACCTTAACCACTATGCTACTGCTTACTCCCAGAAATAGCAGGTATGCTCTTTAAAATGCAACAGAGTAGTCCACAAGAATCCACTATAGTATGAGTTTCTCCAGGACTATACCTGTAACTTCTCTTACTGTGAGCTAAAGAAGTGGGATTTTCAGTACTTCTACATGATGCTAGCAGAAAGTATCTTTTGAAAAGTCAGTGGTCATTTCCAATACCTTACCACATTGTTCTAATTCAAGAATCAAACCACACCATGTGCAGTGGTTATGCAAAATTTGCACAGTTTGGATCTATTTTTTCATTGCATATCTTTGCACTGTCTGCAGTTTGTCCATGCTCAATGTATTTTAGTCTTTAGGCTAAGGGTAGCAGCCTCCGTAGTCTAGAGGTAACGTTCCCCACCTCATGACTCATAGTACACGGGTTCAAATACCCGGCGGAGGTCGAATTTTTAAGGGCGGAAAAATTCAGGGAACAAGTCCTCCGGGAGGGACTTTAAGCTGTGGGTCCCGTGTCATAGCTTTACGGCACGTAAAAGAACCTTATACCTCCAAAGGAGGTCACTGAGCAAAATTGCGGACGTTTGCCGCCCGACAGCAGTCACTAATACCTCCGGTAGATGGGGGAAGCATTATAGATACCTCTCAGCCAGTAGAGCCGGTCTCGCTGGCTGGGCGGGACTGATGGTAAGCACCAATACCGGCAGGATATAGAGGCTGATAAAAATCATCGGACCACTACAGGTCTAAGTGCATGGGGAAACCCACCCTCTCTAATAACTAACTAACTAGGCTAAGGGTTTTTCTAATTGGGAACATGGGCCATCACTTAAAGTGTTTCAAATAGTGACTTTTCAGACCTTGATATTAGTGAGTAAGGAGGGAGCATAAGAGGATATGAATCCCCACTGTATCACCATTTGTCATGTTCCATTTTGTTTTTCGTTCTGTTTATTCCCTAAGATATTTAGAAGAGAAAGCACATTGCAGTCTTCACAGAAAAAAAAAGGCACCACATTACTTTCTAACCTTGAACAACATTCATGTTGCCTTCAAGTCTTGTGAACATACATCGTACATATGACACTGAACATTTGCAGAACTTGCATGTTTTAAGATGCATATTACATTTAGAACTGCTGCAGAATTATGAGATTCTGTACTTGAAAGTACTTGAAAGTTGTGCAGAGAAGTCTGTGAGACAGACAGTTACCACATTATGTTGTGATATACTGGAGTGTCTGTGAGAAAAGTACTTATTCTATTGTCAGGCGCAGTTGGAGAAGAATGCGAAAGCTGTATTTCACCTGCTGGATCATTTAGTTCTGATATTATCTGTATATAGGGTCATTATTGTCCAGTGTAATCACTTATTCTGTAATATATCATGTAAAAATAGTGTTGGCTGATGTTTTATAGAGTCTGTTAGCCTGTTCTTTGATTTATGTAAATGCTCATAATATACCTTATGCTATCCCTCTTTTGTGACAGTTAATTCATGAAGTACTGGTGTTGAATTGGCAGTGAGCATGTTGGGGCAAACAGCAAAGAAGTTGCGACATCATCCAAACCCACCAACGTTGGAAGCTAATGGTACAGGCCTTTGATATCAAAACAAAGGTGCATGGCATAGTCTACCAGGAATGTGTACTAATTTTGTTAATTCTCACCTTCAGTTTATATTTGTATCAAAGGTGGTAATTTTAGATGGGTCTTGAAAGGAGCCAGGATAGCTCAGGTGGTACAGGAACTAAGACTGCAGGCTGAACAGTAAACAGCCAAGGAATTGGAACTTAATTCCCAGCAGAGATGAGAGATTTTTCTCTTCACTACAATGTTCAAATTGGCTCTGGGGCCCACCCAATCTTATATCTGATGGGTACTGAGGTCTCTTTCCCTGGATGCAAGGCATCCAAGGGCATGAAGTGAACTACTCACCTTAATCTAGTGCCAAGGTTAAGGATGTGTGGAGTGCTGCCTTTGCTCCCCATGTCTTCATGTCTTTGTGTTTAATGAAGTACGGGACAGTTTTACTTTGTACCCTGGCTATGGAAATATGTTTATTACAATGATGATTACAGTACAGATTGAGTAATTAGTTTTTAGCAGTCATATAGATTGAAAAAATACTTGACAATAGATCAGAACAATCCAGTAACCATATTTGTATGCATAATCCAAATCTGCCACATTTTTAACAAGAATATGCATAATGTGCATATGTTATTGTTCTAGTTTTTTCAAGTTAATATTGCTCTCTTATGTATTCAAAGGCTACTCCTGCATCAGCAACTTATGACATACTGTTTTCACTTTACGTCAACTACCTTGACTGTAATTCTTATCTGAGAACTGTGTTCTTCAAGGGCACTTAGTATGGTATATAGGCCACGCCATAGCTCAAGCGGTTAGTCACTGGCTTTCCACCACAGTGGCCCGGGTTCGATCCCAGGTCTGGTCAAGTGGGATTTGTGGTGGACAAAGTGGCGCTGGGGCAGGTTTTCTCCAAGTACTTCGGTTTCCCCTGCCAATCTTCATTCCACCAGTTGCTCCACAATCACCCTCGCCTATCATCTGGGGCTGGTACAATAGGCCAGAAGTGGCCGCAGTACAAGGGATTAGTCCCACCCCACTAGCAATAAAAAAAATAGTATGGTATATCCCATGAGCATATATAATTTTTACCACCAATGCAGCAATACGTCATTATTTACTTATATAGCACACACTACATGTTTCGACCTCAAAGAGGTAATCTTCAGGTGCTGCAATTTTCTCACATACTATTACTGTGAAAAACTTGCAGCACCTGAAAATGACCCATATGAGGTCGAAACATGTAGTGCATGGTATATAAATAAATAAATAATAAAATATTGTTGCACTGATGGCAAAAATTATATATGTTCATTGTATATATGCAACAGGATGCAATCCTTAAAAATAAAAAATAAAAAATGGTATATCCCATATGTTGTGTTACTGGAAAGCTTCATTTAATGCAAAAATCTCATTTATTAAAGACACTTTATGTTCATTGTTAGGTGTATTATGTTCTTCAGCATATGCTATCCATCGATAAACTTGGAGAATGCAATTGCTTTAGGGTATTTCAAATGAAACAACATTGGGATAACACAGTAAAGGCATTTAAACATTTAAACGTGACATTAAATACTAAGTTCACATTCAGAAATAGTATTTATTTAGAATAATATTGATACCCATTGAAAATGATACTGAACATCACTTGGCGACCTTAAATTAAGGAGGTGAAAGTTTATGATGATCTGTTGGAGGAGGTGGATAGAGAAGGGTTGTCGGCAGATCGATTCTTGGTTGACAGCAGTAATTTGTGAGGCAGACAGTAGTGACCTTTATATAATTAAGCAGCTTCCATGAAGTGAATCAGTTATATGTAGGGATGTGGTACATGAATAGGAGATGTTCCTAAGAATGAAAACTGCTTAAATTTGAAGTCACTCAAATTGAAGATGCATAAATCAGGCCATACATATTGCCCTCATTTGGTGGCCTTACTTTGAGGTCAGTATTGTGTCATTTTGTTCACTCTGTACCTACAGACAACTCTGACCTTGAGGTACATACTTTTGCGACCCATACTGTAATCAGTATAATGGTTACAAAGTTTAAATCACGATGAATAAAAACTGAAATTTGTATCTGTTATAATTTGAAAGCTGCTGTTTACAAACATTTCCACTGTTAAGGAATAATCCAGGAGATCTCAATTATATCAGAAATGCAAATTCATTGTCAAGAAAGTTGGTCATAGAAGTCAAACTTTGGAACAGGTGGCACTTAATTTGCTTTGCAGGAATCATGCTTATTATTCATGTATAATTCTGCTGCTAAGAATTTGGTGTATCAAAGAAATGTAGCACAAGACCTTGGTGAATGGAAATAACTCACACAGATTGAGGAAGTGTTTTGTTTATCTCTCATCAATTTGTATGATTTTATTGTAATTGTTGTAATTCTAATGTTATGTTTGTATAATGAATGTTTTAATATATATCAATATTTATGGGACTGTATCCCCAATGTAAATAGGACACTGTTTGTAAAAGACAAAAAAGAAATGACCTTTAAGACAGAGATGTTTGCATTCTGAAGAATGGATTTTTGGTCTGCCTGCTTGTAGTTCATAAAGCCTGTATGTTATAACAGAAACTACCTTCTAAGCTTATTACATTCCATCTCTTGTATGAAATACTCTTTGAGTCCTCTAGTTCTCTCTGTCTGCTTGGCTTTCTAATATATAGAATGACAGGGTGTAAAGAGATATATTTAGGTAACTAACTTGGGAAACCATCAATTTGCATTCCTCTGTCAGCAGTGTTTTATAATATAATGTATGTACATCTTTTTATTGACAGCTCTTTAAAATATTTAAGACAATGCTGAAAAATTAACAGCAGTGCTCTTTCCCTGAAAGTGTTTGAATTGTCAGCAGAGTGCTTTGTGAGATAGTTAACACTTTTCCAGGCATTATCATTATAATCTATTGACATTTTCATGAGTGTGATTCACTTATGACCAGGCTTTCTCTTTCCTCTCATAATTACTACTGTTTTACTTGTGTCCTCTCTTTGTTTGTTCTGTATGCCTTTTTTATAGTCCCTTGGCCTAGTCCTTGGTGGTCTCCAAAATGGATTTTCATTCACCATCTTCATCTTTTCCACTCAGAAAAATTATGTTGCCAGCCATATCAGACATATGTCCATGCCTGAATTTCTGATTTCCCTTGTAGTGTTTGTGCTTTCAAATCTTCCTTATTTCCTGGTTTAAGAATTTATTCATTCTTGTTCATTTCTTAATAGTGTGTAGAAATTTAATTTCTGGTAGCATATATTCTGCTTACAGCTCTTTTGTGGTTGTTGAGGGTTGTTCAAATGAAACCCGTTCCCATGTTCCATCACCTGAAGAAGGCACCAAAGGGCTCTGAATTTCAGTCAGATGAAGATGTCAAGACCATTTTTGTACAATGGTTCCAAGAGCAACCAGTGAGTTCTTTGCAGAGGGGATCAATCTGCAGATACACCAATGCCACAGTGGCCATGGTGACTGTTTTGAACAGCATCTATTCCTTTGTCCAGAACAATACCTGAACAAGTTTCATTTGAATTACCTTCATACTTATCAGTATGTATAGCATAACTTTACTCAGGTTTATATCAGATTATAGTCAATCTTGTTTACACTTTTAAGAATTTCTAGAGATGTCACTGGAAGGAAAATCTCTTCATCATATTCTTCCTTGAATCAGTTCTTTGGGGATGAAATGTATTATGTACTTGCAGGAAAGACAGGTACAGGCTTATTGTTGTATTACTTTTTCAGAACATTGCATTGTTTTTCAAGGGATATAATTCAGGTAATAGTTGAAGCTCTTATTGATTGCATTTTCTGTAGAAATGTTAGTATTTCCATCTTGGCCAAGTACAAATAGAACTAGAGAGAGAGAGATGTCATACCCATGACCAAGAAACATTCTTTCATATATTAATAATTTTAATTCATTAATATGGCCCTGGCGTAGACTCAGCCACAAATGAGTACCAGGAATATTCTTGGAATGTTCTTGGGGGTAAAGAGTGGCTGGTGCATAGGGCTGGCATAGTACAGTTAAGCACAGATACAACTTATCTTTTTTTTTTCATTCCTTTTTTAATTTATTATTATTATTCATGATCTTCTGAAATAACATTCATCTTGTTGTTGGAAAAAAGTATTAAATAACATAAAATAAGATTTTTTCTTTTATTAATGTCTTTATGGCTAAGGTGGTTATGACCCGTCAAAACTTGAACCACAAAATTAAAAAAGAAATGTGGTTCGCTTCTGTTGCTTATAGTATCAAAATTTGAATTATGCCCAGAAATCCAGAAAGAAAGCATTATGCAGAGGTTTTCTGGAGACTGCAATAGTATTGTGCTGGGACAAAATATTTGAGCCAGAGTTGTACAAATAATGTCATTTATATTATACAGTCCATATATACCTCTTCTGACTTCCTATTGAAATTTTAACCAGCATTCCACTAGTTTATTTTAATATATTGACAAATAACTGGGATATTTTGAAGAGCAGTGTTGTTAACTAAGGCAGTATTTCCAGATTAACTTTGTGCATTTGTATTGTGTGATTTTTAACACAGTATAATTTAGTAGCTTGTGTTGCATGTCCTCAAAGTTGTTGAAAGCTATCTGTAAATTATAAAAGATGAAGTTCACATCTGCATAGTATCATAATTTCTTTACTGCAGTTCAGTTTTAACAGATGTGTGCAATGCTGTATTAAATTATTTCTTACTGTGGTCATGTCTATCAATGCTAGAATAATTGTTGGACACTGTAATACTGTTGCTGAAAGTATTTGAGGTCTGTGTAAAGGGCAGTTGTATCTGCTGATAGTTAAGTGCATCAGCACTAGACTCTTCAATAGTAAGTGTTAAACACTAGAAAGTACCTTCTTAGTCCCATCATTTTGGAGTTAATAAAGCAGTTCATTATAATAGAAAAGAGAAATATATGTGTTACGATTTTTATAGCAAAAAAATCTTACCTTAACATTTTTGTATGTTGTCACACAATTTATATAATTGGAAAGTATGTATAAATAATGTATATTATATTGGAAGTTGCATTTTGAAGGAATGGACAGGAATATGCTAGTCTTAGATACTACATATGAAACTTCATACTGACAGGATTGATTAAGGAAACATGTTCTATGATTGAACAGTTTAACCTGTACTGAAAAATATGAAGGATGGTGAAGTGATTGTGAATTGTAAGATCATGATATAAACACAAGCGTCTTCTGATGCATTTTTAATAATGTGTATGACATTACCAGCAAAACGTTTTTGGAAGAAATATTTTGTGAACTCAGTAAAAATAATAGTTTCTGATCGTGGTGTATAACCATAACTACGGTTGTTATTTTGGTCCTTTTCCACCATATTGTGTGTTTTCCAAGCTGCACTGTTTCAGAAACTAGTCCCTTTTCTGTTACCAAGCATGAGGTGGTGACCATTAGAGAGAGCTAGCATCAATCACGGGACACTAAAGTGAGTGTTGAGCAGAGAATATACCTCTGCTGCTGAATTTTAATGTCAGTAAAATGTATCCTCTGCTCAAACCGTCTTTTGGTATCCATTGATTGAGTCTAGCTCTCTCTGATGGGCCTAATGGAGTAGGAACCATTCCCTTCTTACGCTTAGTAGTGGCAGAAACAGTACCAGTTTCTGAGACATTGTTTGGAAAAAACAATGATGAACTATGCCCAACATAATAGCCCCAGTTATTTTGTAAAGTGTTTCAGCATTAGACAGAGTCACTATCTTGAAAGCTTGTATAAGGAAGTGGGTAG